AACCAGGTCCCAAAAATATGAACATACAAACCCACACACTCTCTATGCACACATACGTGGTTACCCATACAATATCATGCATATTCATACAAATTGCATACATATTACCACTATCATGTAGATATACGTGTAGATTTATCGTTACTATCAGCAACGAATACACACACAACTAGAAAAATACATAAACCCAGACGAGATATTTGACATATGATTACCATATATAACCGTTTGTCAACAAGGTAGATATACATATATATATATATATATATATATAGTTATAACCAGAAACAAACATACAACATAGAGGAGATGTTTACATCGCATATCAATAGCCCAAAACACACCTGCATGCGTTCGTTGTCGTCCTGTACCTGCGCGCATTTGTCTACTAACTTGACCGTATTCTTCAACGCTTCACCTCGTTGCCATTCCAATTGTACTTTCCGCCCCGACACTCCATGCTGCTCCCGGATTAAGCTCGATTTTTTCTCACATGCCGAAATAAGCCTCTGCTTCATCCGCGCTATCTGCTCGGCCACATCGCGAGATGCAACCTCCTTCTCCATCTCCACATCCGCCTGTACCTGCGCCTGCTCACTCTCCGTTAACGCAGGCTTATCGAGCACATGTCTGAGCCGCTCATTAAGTTCACGCATATGTTCAGTTCGCCAATGTACGTGTTTCGCAAGAGCCCCTTTCGCCTGTCTTTGACGTACAAATCTAACAGGTCCTCCCCGTTGCGCTGGTTGTACTGCTTTTCTCGTTATCATCGCTGTGTCTACTGTATCAGCTTCTGATACTACTATGCCCTCTAGTACCGAGTGTGTATGCGAGATCTGTTCATTTGTACCAGCTGGAGAGTTCGCATGGGCTGAATTTGTATTGACAGGAGTGTTGGTATGGGTTTGGATCATAGTATGTGCGTCGGTATTATCTAAACGTATGTGTTTGGTTTGTTTGCCTGTGTCAATGTCATCGATTGTGCGACGTTCGGTGCTGTTGGTCGACTCAGACGGCCGTTGATCAAGTGGTGAGATACTGAATACCGAAGCGTATATGTAAGCTATAAATTTGTAGGTGTGTATGAATCTATATTCGGTATATACTCTCGTAAGTGCATGCGTGCGTGAATGTATGTGTGTTCAGTATATACTCTCGTGTGTGTGTGTGTGTGTGTATGTGTGTGTGGGTGGGTGTGTGTATGCATTTGTATATTTGATATATATATTCGTGTGTATGTTTTTATATGTAATATATACTTTTGCGCGTGTTTGTATATTTGACATATAATTTCGTGTTTGTGTTTGTATATTTGGTATATACTTTCATGCGTGTGTTTGTATATTTGATAAATACTTTCGTGTGTGTGTTTGCATATTTGATATATACTTTCGTGTATGTAAACGTATATTTAATATATACTTTCGTGTGTGTAAACGTACCTTTGATGTATACTTTCGTGTGTAAACGTACTTTCGGTATATAATTTCGTGTGTGTGTTTGTATATTTGTTATATACTTTCGTGTATGTAAACATATGTTTGATATATACTTTCGTGTGTGTGTTTGTACACTTGATGTATACTTAGGTCCGTGTTTGTGTATTTGATATATACTTTCGTGTGTGTGTTTGCATATTGAATATATACTTACGTGAGTGTAAATTTATGTTTGATGTATATTCTCGTATGTTTACACAATACACACGCAGTAGTAGTGATAGTCTAGTTAAAAATAACCAAGAAAAGTATTGACTTCAATTGCGATCACATTCGCAACTTGACAACAAGACAACCGTTATGTCGAGTGATGTATCTTTAACCTGATTGCTACTATATAACACCATCCAGTCTTAGTGGATTAGTGTACATCTGTGCATACATATGTTTGAGTGCACGTATGTAAATATACATAAATTACCCTTATTATATTGATTATATGATACATACACACATACGTGCATAAATTTAATGAGACACTCTCTCTACTCTCTACTAGTACAGAGTAGCATAAATCCATCATCATATTTTCAATGATGTAAAAATACATAGCCAAAAAAACCGCCCCCCCCCCCAAAAATATTGTTTTATATTAAAAAAATGAAATAAAATAAAAATATCAACACAGACTGACATTTTGGAAAACAGTTCGGTACTTTTATGGGACGACACCGTTCGGTACTATGACTGTAAGAAACGTAAACAAGTTTCGACTTGCCGCTGGAACCATTTTTATATTTATTTATTTTACGTCTGTCCTCATATCTAATATGAAAATATATTGTCTATCTAATATGAAAATATATTGTAATATACAAATATTTACCGAGATATAGCTGACAAATACAGGCAATAGACTGACGTTAACGTACACAGTCGCATATATAACAGACATCTGATACACTTACAAACATAACCATCTATCCACAATGGCGCCAATCGACGACAGCATGACACTTCCTGACTGGATGACGGCAGAACACATGACAGGAGTAAGTCTCTCTGCAATACACCTTCTCAGCATCTATAC